TACAATTGAAATGTCCATATATATGTATGTGTTTTATATGTACATGCATATCATACATGTGAATGTATAGATACATACATACACATGTATCCTTAAACATATAAAAAGATGTTCTATCTCACTCATAACTAGAAAAATGCAAATTAAAACACAAGGTATTATTTTTCACCTATCAGATTGGCGAAAATTAAAACATATGATGCATTCTGTTGACCAGGCTACTTCTTGGAGGCAGGCACTCCCCTACATTGCTGGTGGAATGCAAACCTGTACAACCATTCTGAAGGGGAACTTGGCAATGCCTTAATCCATTATATATGCCATTACTTTTGACCCACGATCCCACTTCTGGGAATATGCTCTGAAGATATACCTGTAACAACTCACAAACACATAGCAACAATGTCTTTCTTATGGCTTTATTTATAATTGCAAAACACTGGAAAAATCTAAATATTCATAGGAGAGTGGTTAAAATAATTGTGGTACATTTACACAGTGAAGTACTAGGTAACTGTGAAAAAGAATAAGGAAGATCTCTTTGAACCATTAGGGTGTGGTTTCCAGGATACATTGTTAAGCCAAAAAAAGCAAATTGTAAAAGAGTATCTATAAGAAGGAACGAGCCCTGGGAGCAGTCCTTTTTCTGGGCAGGGGCCTGTCGCTAGTGAGAGGGCCTTATGTGTGGGACTGCAAGTGTGCCTGCCTTGTGACAGCATAAAAAAGGGTGTGCTGGTGACCAACCAATCTCTTAAAGGTAATAATCAAATCCACATCAGAGATTTTGATGATGAAAATACCATTATAAGTAAAAATGTTCTCTTTCATCAGGGGGTGAAATTAGGCACATTCATGCCACTCCACCTGATAAAGGTGTGCTGGTGACATTCTCCAATGAAAGTTCACCTGTCTTCTCCCCTACTGGACTGGATCCTTTTGGAGGGTCCTGGAATGTGAGCTAGTTCTCTTTGTGTCCTCAGTGTCCTGCAAAATACCTTATAAAAGATAGGGTGACCATATGTTCTGCTTTGCCTGGAGCAGTTTCGGTATATGCCTGACATCCCTGGGGATAAGCTGTGACAACAGACTCAGAGTCTTAATCTAGTCTATGGGGATCCTGCACTCACTCTACAGATCTTAGAAACAGTATTGAAGTTTAAAGAGGGAATCCCCCAAGTCTGAAAGAAATAAGAGAAAGGGACTTTTGTTAATCATGGATGAGAAGAGATTCAATACATATTGTGCACCAAATCCATGATTGTGCAAGGTATCACACTGCATGGGAATAATTTAAAAGCCTATCTCTTGTGCAAGAATGGGATAAGATAAAAGACCGACCTCTCATTCCCTCAATATGTTCAGAGCCTGGACCAAGCTGGCCCACAGAGATGCTCAAAACACATTTGTGGAACTTGTACTGGTTTAAGCATTTTATTGTGTGACTGGATATAAGCCTAGTAGGTTTGTTGATCCGATAAATAGGATAAGTGATATAAGTATCCTTATAGTAAGTAAGACAGGTCCACTTACCCCTGGCATGGCCATCTCCATCTTAAGAACAGAGATAACGACTTCTCCACTCATAAGGAACCAACAGGCACACACACCGCCGGGCACCACACTGTCTGGGCTGCGAGGAATACTGCCCAAGAGTCTCAGGATGCCCTAGATTTTCTACCCTGGACGCTTGGCCTAGCTTCCTCCTTGCTTCTCCCTGATGCTCGCGCTTCTGCAAGTCGCTTCTCCTTATGTCGCGGGGCGGTCCTTAATGTGGATGCAATTGATCCAGACGAGGTGAGATTAATGTCATTGGTTTTACTTCTAGCAGGCGACTTTCAGTGCTCCCTAGCACTAGAGGGAGAGGAAAGAGGGGGACTCCGAGGCCCAACCTGTTTGCGGCAATATCTCAGCCACCGGAGGTGACTCGCTTGGAGGACGAAGTCTGGGCAGGAGGAGAGCACTGGGAGCTGAGACCCCACAGCGAAGGAAGGACAGACTCATTCCCCGCAGGGCTGGGCGAGGTGAAGTAGACCTCTCTCTCCAGGTGGGCCCTGGGTGCACCCAGGCCTGAGCCGAGGCCGCCCTTAGCGTAACTGAAGGCTTCCGTTTGCATCTCTTGAGAGGGACAAAAAGGGCTTTTCACATCCCAAATCTCTTTTGATCCTTGCAGCAAACCGAGAAAGAAAGGCAAGGCCCAGGAACTGAGGGCAGAATTTGAACTCTCAGGGGTCCTGGCGCTAAGTCTCTCCCAAGGTGTCCTTCTCTCTACACTTTCTGGAGCGCGACAGTCTGCAGCGAGAATTCCACCACAGAATGAGGTGCTCTAGGGTCGCGACTTACTGTTTATATCTGGGATCGCCCCCAGCCCCAGCCCGGAGCGGAAGGAGTGAGCACGCTCCTACTGGAGGTCGTCTGCGGGGAAATATCCTAAATTTGCATTAACTTAGAGTCAGAGGTTGTAAATACCCGCCTACCAGGCCTTAGCCTGCACCTCTGCAAGGAGGAAGATATGATAATATAACATTTCTAGAAAGTCGTGGGGTAATATGTTTTATGAGCATTAAAATATTTGATTCATTAGTATTTATTTTACATATTTATTCTGAGGAAATAATCCAAAATGTCGACGAGGATGACGTCACCAAGATGTTCCCTGACTCCTATTTACGGTGTCAAAAAAAAATTAGATAAAATCTAAAAGTATAAACAGTGTATTATGGTCCATCCATAATATGGACTATTATATTGCCATTTTGAAGTGCTTAATGAAGTGCCGGACATGCTTATGATGTAAATTTAAAATAGACAAACTCAAATATACTGTCGACGAGGATGACGTCACCAAGATGTTCCCTGACTCCTATTTACGGTGTCAAAAAAAAATTAGATAAAATCTAAAAGTATAAACAGTGTATTATGGTCCATCCATAATATGGACTATTATATTGCCATTTTGAAGTGCTTAATGAAGTGCTGGATGTGCTTATGATGTAAATTTAAAATATACAAACTCAAATATACTTTACGAATTCGTACATACAAAAATATAGAAAGAAAGAAGTACACTCAAATAGCATCTCTGGATGGATCTTGTTTTCTTTTCAACTTTTTCTTACTTTTCATTTTTTTGCAGAGTGCGCATGATAACTTTTATAATCAGAAAGGATAAAATTTAAATAAATGTATGGGTCATTGCAAGATTTCGACATCTCTGAGGACAAAGTGACGTCTCTTTCAGAAAAGAAAAGAGGGGTGCTGTTTTAACAAAACCAGAGTCTGGGTACCCTGCCATCCAGGAGCTGGGCCACCTGAGGAGTCTCTTAACCTCTCTGATTGCGACTCCTCGCTGGAAAAAAAAAGTGGCAGCTGGAAACACTCTGAGTATAGCTTGGATGTAAAGATTAAATAATACAGTATATAAGAAAAATTTACTTGGCTAAACCATCAAATTTGCCAACATTTTGCATGAATTATTGTGAGAATTTTTGCACCCACTAGCCTGGGGAAATAAGTCTAGCTTGTCTGGGTTTCAGGAAATAATAATGTTCAGACAGTCCTTGTAATATTGAATTAGCCTAAGAAGGTTTAGTTAAGAAACATTTGATCTGAAATCTCCAAAAGAACTCTAGTGAGATCTCATTTTTATTTAAAAATATTTTTAAGCTCTTACTGTGTTGAGACTCCTGACCCCCCAATCGAGTCATCCCGATTGAACTGTGTTGCGTGAGAAATAGCAGTGGACATTCATCGATGGTTTCATACACATTATCTCACTTGATTCTCACAACCATCTTCTGATGTGCATATGCTTAGCTCCACTTTTGACTAAGCCAAAGCTTAGAGAGATAACTGCAATAATACCCAAAGTCCACACTTGAAACAAAGCAAGGCTATGTCTACTGACGTCAGCTCAGTGCTCATAACCATCGTACCGCGCTGCCTCCCTTTACTCGGTGCTGCCTGTGTTCAAGGAACTTTTCTGATGCTCAAAACTTATCACTCCTGCGGGAGTGTGCGTTGGGGGATAGGAGGCGTCGCGTTCATAGTCACGCTCACACGCGCTCAAGGCAACCAACTTTAGGGGAGACAGAGGGACAGAAGAAAGTAACTTGGAGACAGGAAGGGCAAGGTGAGCCCCTTTTGGCACCTTCGTGCGAGCCAAGGCTATTACCGTCCCTCCTCCCCACCTACTCGCGGGGCCTGCTAAGAGCTAGGGAGCTCCCGCAATATTGCTCCTTTGCCCTTTCTGGCTGACATGCGCCAGCTGAGAAGCGGCGGATCCCGTCTCCTGAGACCCTCCTTTGGCTCTAGGTGAGACATTTCCACCTCCGCCTAGGCCGTGGCGGGTCAAGACTCGCTCCTCCGCGGTCAAGCCTCTGCTCCCTGGAAGGAACTCTGCTCCGCCTGCCCCCGCCCTGCACCCACGAAGACTCCAGCGTGCACCTCCATCCTGCGGTGCCCAGCTGTCTCCACTTGAATTTCCCTCTGCCACAGGAGTGGAGACTAGAGCTAAAGCTAAGCCGGAGGGACCGTCTAGGGTTGCAAAGCAAGGGCTCCAACCCGCCCCGCCTCTTCTCCCGTCCTCTAGGAAAGTCCAGGCGGACTCGGGGTTGACCTCACAAGCTTGTGCTGGCACCATATTCACCGAGATACGAGCCTAATGCCGCACCATCTCTCCCGTTTCCCTTGCTTTTGAGAACCTTCAATAAGAAGCAAATCTTCCCAGAAGGTGGCTGGGGATTGCAGAAGAATTGAAAGGGAGCGAGAAGAAAGCGCTTGGAGAGGATGGCGCTGGGCTGGCTAACACGTGGTTTCTGCGGGAGCCAATGGGAGTTGGTGGTCTCGTCCCTCGGCCCTGGTCACCAGGTGGCAGGGATGGCCCAGAGGAAGGCGCAGTCCCGGACGCTGGGCGTCTGCCCTGGACCTTCGGACGGAAAGCCCTGGGCGCTGCGCTTCGCGGGGGCCGGAGACACCCTGGCCTCTCTCCCTCCGCCTTCGGGATGCTGCAGAACCCCGTCACCTCCACCCCCTTCTCGGTCAAAGACATCTTGCGGCTGGAGCGCGAGCAGATTGGCCTTGAGGCCTTGCAACTCCAGGGAGCACGGAGGAGCCCGGAAAGCTCTCAGCACCTGCGACAGGTCCCAGAACCGCAAGGGTTGGTGGTTCACCACACTGGTAGGGGCGGCAGCGACAAAAGGAAGGACATGTCGGAGCCTCCTGAAGGATCCTGTGAGACGGTCACAGAGATGGTCACGGAACGGATGGGGGAATCACGTGAGTACAAGCTCAGGTCTTGGCTCCCACGGAGAGATCATTGGGGGCGGGGGTCATAACCCGTTGGCTCTTTGCGGGGCAGGCACACATCTTCTGTCTTCCCAGTTCCTAGGGCCTATCCTAATTTCCCCTTATTCGAAGAGTCTAAAAGACAGACTCAGACGCCTCTGCCACCCCCTCCAAACCCTCATGCTGCTTCACTTCCCTTAAGAAAAATAAGGTCCTGAATCTTAGAGCATCTCTATTTCCACAGCAGCCTGTCCTCATACGCCCACAAACACATCATCACACTCACAACCACACTCCCAGGAACTATAGCTTCTCTTTCTCACAGCGAAACCCGCTACACTATCTTAGCTGTACTGGGTCACCGCCCGTCTTCCCTGCCACCCCTGAGCCTCTCTACCCTAAGCCAAAGCGTAGCCATCAAAGCAGCAGGGCCCTTTGGGAGAGAAGACTCTGAGCGCTCTGGTGTCAGTCCCGGCTGGCCCTTTCTTGGGACTGGCTAAGTGGCCTGGCCATCCAGGTAAATCTTTTGACCGGCTCCTCGACTCGAGAATGAGAGGTGGCGACCAGACCAGGTGGTGTCTGAGTCCCCGGGCGGGCCCTCCGCTTCTGGGAGCACAGTTAAGGGCAGCTCGGTTTTTGGCTGCTCTGGATGGCGGCTCCGCGGAGTCTTGGCGCAGAACATTCAATCCAATGACACACTTCAGATCCCTGGAAAACTCCTGTGCGCTTTGGGGAAAAACTAAACGGGTTTAAAGACATTCTGGGGATGAAAAAGCCATTCTTCCTTTCGCCCAACCTCTGCACCTGGGTTCGCAGCCTCCACGTGGTTCTGGGGACCCCCATGAGGCGCCTCGCTGGTCATGTCTCCTTTACCAGGCGGTGCCACGGTTCCTCCATCAAGGCGTAAATTAAGGACGCTAGTTCGGAGTTATTCATCGATTTGCAAGCTGGTTATTCACCTATTCCAGAGACTGAGAATATTAATCTTTGCTGTATTCGCAAAGAAGCTGGTGAGTTATCTGCAGCGAACTCTAACCACTAAACTCGCTCTACACTGCTCAGTCAATTCGGCGTTCACTTCGGCCTTGGCGAGAAAGAGACTCGTTCCTCTGACCCCTGCTGTCCCCTCGCAGTCTAAGGCAGCGTGTCTCCTGCGGCTGCCATAGACACCGAGAAGGGCCGGAGCCGGACTCCAAGAACTAAGCCCAGGGAGCGGAAGCGATCCGGCGGGGAAAGGACCTTTCTGGTGGCATTGATGCGCCTCATCTGTCCTCAGCCGATGCACCTTGCTTTCTGAGACGCGGGGGGTGGATTGTGAGCGGGAGAGCGCGAGGTGCTGGCACTGAAGGTCAGTCGTTACTTTTCTATTTGCTAAGAAAAAAAAAAACAAACCCTCGTCACTATTTTTCCTCTTTGCGAAGAGAGATATCCTCAGTTTTTCTGAGCTCAGGCTTCTCTGAAGGAAGTTTTATTTCTTCAAACTTTAAATGCCAAGCAGCTCATCCCCCAGGAGACTGTGCCAGCGCGGGACTTGGAGTCGGGTTCCAACCCGCACCAACTCTAATTAGGCCTGTCCCGCTCGGCCTCGCCACTAACTTGCATCCCCGGCATGTTCCTGGTTTTCTCCTGGCATGAGTTTCAACGACACTTCAGCGTTTCCTGTCTACTCGCCCTTGGGTGAAAACAAAACTTCAGTGGAGACAGGATGCAGGTGGGAAGAAGGGCAGGAAGGTTGCATCTTGGCAGGCTCCGAGCACACCGTCAGCAGCCAGGGGCCTTCAACCCTGTTTTAACTGGTTGAGTCCAAGGCATCTGTCTGTGCGCGGCGAGGGAGCTACCCCAGGGGAGGAGGATGTCAGTGCGAAGCCAACGCACCCGCTTGCCACGGAGACGTCAAAGGAGAAAGAGGCAGCTTTATAAAAAGCTAAATGTGGATCTTAACTTTGCATATCCCTCCAAGAGAACTTCACTTTCCAAGCCAAGAGTCAGAAGTCAGAAAATATTTTGTTATATTTTATTTTGTTAATTTGGATTACAGAGCCTCCCTTCCAAAAAATATGGGACCGGTCCCTGGTGCCTGTGTAGCACTTGATGACCAAGAAAGACAAGGGTGTGTCAAGGTGGATGAAGGTGGGAGTCGCTCGAGACTCCTCGCTTGGAGCCAAGCATCCCGCGACAGGCGCGGGATCACGATGGATGACCAGGCAGGCAGGCGCCTTCCTGCAAGCATGTCACCGAGGTGCCTGTTTCCCTTCTCTCCTTCTCCCTCTCAATTTTTCCATCTCTCTCCCCTTCCCTCTCTTCTCTCTCTGTCCACCAAGGGCAAAGTCAGCCCCCAACTGTGATTCTCACAGCAAAAGCTCCCCCAATCTCGACCACACTTTGGAATTGAAATCGCAGCGAACCGCCTCCACGCCACCACCCATACACAGACACTCTAAGAAGAGAATGAAGCTTAGACTCTAGATCGAGAATCTACCTTTTGGAAAATGGTTGTACAACGGGGACCGTAGAGTGTCACAATTTATGTATGTTCCAGCAGGTACAAAAGCGACAGTTGGGGGGAAAGGAACCTTCTGACCGGCCTGGGGAGGAGCTCAGCAGAAGAGAGAAGGGGGCGCGAACTGGAGGCTATCGGGGGGAGGAGGCGTGTCTTGAAAATAGTGTAAGAATGGCTCAGGTGAGCCTTAGGCAGGGCCCTGACGGTGTTCCTTCCTGTGCTTTTAGAGCCTGGCCTCCTCGGCGGGACCCGGGGACCAGAACGCCGCGCTGGAAGCAGCGGCGACCGCACGCGCGGTGAGCGCGCGGAGCCGCCCAAAGAGCGGCAGCGGCGGAGGCCGCGCGTGCTCTTCTCGCAGGCGCAGGTGCTGGCGCTGGAGCGGCGCTTCAAGCAGCAGCGGTACCTGTCCGCGCCGGAGCGCGAGCACTTGGCCAGCGCGCTGCAGCTCACGTCTACTCAGGTCAAGATCTGGTTCCAGAACCGGCGCTACAAGTGCAAGAGACAGCGCCAGGACAAGTCCTTAGAACTGGCGAGCCACCCCCTGGCGCCGCGCCGGGTGGCGGTGCCGGTGCTGGTGCGGGACGGGAAGCCCTGCCTAGGCCCTGGCGCGCCAGCCTTCCCGGGTCCCTACGGCGTGGTCGCAGGGCCCTATTCCTGTTACAGCGGCTACGCGGGAGCTCCCTACGGCGCCGGCTACGGCGGAGGCTACGGGAGCGCGCCTCCGGGCCCCGCGCCGCCCGCGCCCCTGGCCAGCGCGAGCTTCCGCGGGGGTGGCTCGAGCGCCAGCCCACCCGGCCATCTGCCCGCCTCGCTGCAGGGTGTCCGGGCCTGGTGAGGCGCCCTGGCTCGGACACACCCACCAAGCCCAGGGTCTCCTTCCCTGCTCCCTGCCAACCGGTCAGCGCTCAGGATGATAGGCCGCTGCGGTGGAAGGAAGTCTCCCTCGAGTGATCCCTGGGACTGAGAATTGCCCTCAACGAGCCTTCCAGCTAAAGATCCTGGGGACGTTCTTCCCCTGAGAGAAAGAACACGGCCAGCAGCCCACGAAGCAGCCCTGGGGGAGGAAAGCCGAGGGTGGCCAGCAGTTTTGGGTGTCGAGACTGTACTGAAGCAGGTGACTTTGTAGGCCTTAAACCCAGGGCTGAGAGGCCCTTTAATTTATGTACAACAGCCTCGGGCATTGCGGGGTGACTCTGGTGCTTCGGGGGAAGCGCTCTAGAGGGCCTCGATCATCCAATTAAGGGCAACGGGTGGGGTGAAGAATGAGGAAGAGAGACGAGTGTGGGGCAGCGGGTGAAGAGCTGGGAGGTGGAGGACCAGGGTTAGGAAGAGGGGCTGTTATTGGATTTAATCCCGCCCCCGTCAAGGCTGCGCTCCTAGGAACTCCAGATTAATCCAGCGTGGTGCTCTTTTCTGGGGCTATAATCGCTCCCCAGGAAGTATCCTCTGGTTCTTCCCTCCTCGCACCAGTGCATTTTATCTGTTATTTACAGCTCAGCATCTTGAGGGAATATACGAAATATATTTGTGTGCGTTCGCATGTGTGTAGGCCATTAGAATGTATCCACCTCTCAGGTACCTCCGAACAACTGCAAATTAAAGTAAAAACAAAACTCATAAGTTCTGAGTCCTCAGTACATACAGACTCCCTAGGGAGACACAACAGATCCAGCCCTGGAGGTAGGTTACCTGATTTCCTCTCTCCCCCTCCCTCTCCCTCTGTAGATTTTCTTTCAGATTATAATAGATTTCTAAGTTCTGAATCAGGAAAGGGGGCCTCCAATTGTCCATAAATCCTAACACGCTGAGAACAGAGGCTGAACTTAAGGGGAAACTATGACTCCCCGGACCCAGATATGTCGGAGGTCATACAAACCAAAGACTGAAAACAAACTCATTTTTATTAATGGGAACATGAGATCAAATAAGAAATTTGTCTTTAGCAAGCACTAGGAGGAAAATCAGGCTTGTTTTTTTTGGGGGGGGGCGGGGGGATGGGATAACATTTTTGGAAATGAAAACTCTGGTCCTTTGTTCTCTAGACCACTAACTTGCCAAAAATTGAATTCTATTATTTAATAACTTGCAATATTTAATTAAAATGCACCGGCAGTGCATTTTCTCATTTTGAAATGTGCCCTGGTTGTTTTTACTAATGTAGGAAACAGACTTCTTGGTCCTATGTAAACTATATCTGTTTTACATAGCTTATATCTCTTAAAGTTTGTATGTTTAAGCTTAAAATGCGAGTAATTATTCACATTTTTTCTTACTATCATTTCCTTACATTTTCTCTCCTTTTTGTTTTCATCCCCTTTCTCTTTTATTTCTCCA